TATATAAATTCTCCAAACACCTTTACATAGGTCTTAGTTTGAATAACGAAATTGTTCTCGTAATCTACCTATTCTCTTTTCTCTACAATGGATTCTGTTCTTCGGATGAGTGGAGATGTGCTAACAAATCCATAACAGGCTGTCGGAGTATTTGGCAGAAAATTGGAATAATTATAAAAATGTTACAAAGATTTTCCACATTGTCAGTTTTCATAAAACATTCCAAGAAAAATTACTCAACAGCATAGAACGATATACCTATGGATATTTCTTAACGTCAAATTTTCAAGAACATAATAAAAACTCCTCGAAAAATTTCTGACAACATAAAAAGTCGTAGATATTAAAAATGGGGTTCTCTTAACAATGGATACCTTTTAGAATGTTAAGGAAATGGAAAAATCAGAATTCGTCATTCAAATTCACAGATAAGTGACGTAAAGATTTCCCTTTCGGGGGATGTGCGGGGGGAGGGACAATAGCCGACAGTCCCTGGAAATGTGATACCAACTTACATCTACAATTTCATAAATTACTTTCTCCAGTAAAATGTCGTATATCATTTGATACATCGACTTTGTCAACTGCAAGAATAAGTCGGTGATCCGTGTACCTTAAACGTACCTGCTGAATATTTTATTGTTGTTTTTCGTCGCGTTTTCGATGTGTAAATAGGGTGTTTACATTCTATTACTTGCAAGTCCGGTGCCTTTACCATGAAGATGAGTTTTCTTGTTGAGTTAACGTCTTTAGGTATTCTAAGGTTCTGGTAGTACAGTGGATTCTACCTATGTATCTTTCGAAATTGCTTTCCAAGCTACGTTATTTAACAATACGTTTCAATTAATATGATGGTTTTGGTCGGTATCAAAAAGTAAAGTTTTTTAAAGACAAGAAAAACAAAGCATACACATGGTTTGCTCCATCTAAGGGAAAAGTTTCAACAAAAATTGCCATATATTTCGATAACCAATTTCGTTAACAAATTCTGCGAAAATTTTGTGAGTCATCATTATGTTGTGTTTAGAAACCCATAGTAAAGGTGAAACAAACATTTCATAGCTTTAAACCCTAGGTACTTAGTTTTCTAGACGACGTGCCTTAAAACTTTAAACAAGTCCTCAGGTACCCTAACTTTGACCGAAACAGAGGGAGCGTACAAAGCTAGCCATTTAATGAAATATTTTGAATATTTGTTATTCGATTCCTATCCTACGAACCACCAGCTAAAAAAGACATGTGCAAGTCAATTCGTGTGCAAGAATTGTGGTGTCTTTTAAAAATGGTATGTGTAAATTGTTCTCAAAGTAAAGTACTTGGTGAATTTTTAATTTGGCGGCTCACAGAATATTTGGGGAGCAATTTGCGACTTAATATTGTATAAGGCGGACGGAAATTTCTTTTTAAACATTTTTATGAGCCAGAACCGAGTTTTCGGATAAAAAACTTGTGCAGGATGCTGTGACGACGTTTTAATTGTTTTCCTTACACCGCCATCGTTAGAATATTTAAAAACATTATATTGTAAAATCACTACTAAATATTCAACAAAAACTTTACATTAAAGGTTCCGGATAGTGTTTGAATTATGAACCGAAGAACCGTCATGAAAGTGATTTTTTTTATATTTTTAAGGTTGTTTCGGTTTGACATTTGAAATTTTAATAACAGTAGAGCTCTTTGTGAAAGAGTTCGTTCAGGCTTCGCTTCAGCGCGGACGAGAGCTGGTGAATTTACAGGCACATGGGACTTCAAAAGGTTATGTCTCAGATCTTTGTAATTTAAAGCTCTAAATGGCACAGCAACTGTTAAAAACAGGCGTGTCGCTTACCACCAGGCGCACGACGTGTTCGTACAATCAGTTGGTATCATAAAAAAAGTACAAGTAGTACAAGTACAAGTGTACATTGATAATAAGCAACTCCTAGAGTTTCTTACTCATGCTTCTCAGGGGAACGTACAGTCAAGAGCTCGTCAAGCTTGACAATTAAGACTTACATCCAACTCTGTGCCGCTAACGATAAGAACGATCCAAAGTACAAAGTGTCAAGCTTGACGTGCTCTTGACTGTACCTTACAAACAAGAATTGTTTCAACAATGTGACGATTTTAAGGTAACATTTAATATGATTGATTTTAAAGTAGAGATGGGAAAAACTGTTATTTTTTTAAACGTTTAAATGTTATGCTTTTTGAAAAAAGCGTCCTTTTTTAAAACGCTTTTTCCCTTACACGCTTTTTAGTTTGAAGCTAAAAAAAACGAAAACGTTTAAGCGCATAGATTTTTATGCTAAAAAAAACTTGCAACGTTGTGTTGATAGCGACACGCAAGAGTAGACCACTAAAGGTTTTAAGTTATGTAAGTTATTTTGTAAAAAAACGAGTTATATTTTTATTTATGACATAACATTATTATATTAAACGATGAAAAACATAAGTTGTATAACTTTAGTAGTTGTTAACCGTTGGAATGGAAAAAACTGTTTATTTTTTTAACGTTAAACGTACGTTTAAAAAGCGTGCTTGTAAAAGCGCTTTTCACATACGCTTTTTAGTTTGACGCTTAAAAAGTCGTAAACGTTACTAAAGAAAAACGTTTAAGCGCATACATAGACTTTATGTTTAAAAAATCTCGCAACGTTATGTTGAATTAATTTGTTTAGGTAACATAGTTGGCGCTACTTGAAACTTAGGCACGTTGTAAAAAATGAAATTGTTGAATACTTATTGAACTGACCAGTGACCAACGCTTACGCTTAAAATGAAAAGCGTGCTTATGCGCTTATTTTAAAAAGCAGATTTTTTTTAAAGCGCTTTTCGTTTAAACACCCACATTTAATTTCAAGTGTAATTTGTTTACCTTTGACATAATAGTTATTTGTTATGCAAGGCTGCAAAGTGCAAGCGAAGTCTAAGATTGAAAAAATAGATTCCTGAGTGTAGCGAGAGTTTCAAGACACGAGACGTAAAACAACTTTGCCGCCGAGCGAAACACACAACTTTTCACCTCACTACAGCGAGGAAAATGGTAGATGAAAGAAAAAACAGTTTAGTTCTTCGGCGAATTAAAATAATTAAACAATATTAGTTAATGTTGTCTATTTAATGTCAACAATAACAAGAATGAAATGTACCAACGAATTTGTATTATACATAAATAATGTACGACAAATCGCGTAGTTGAACGTGTCATTGTAATTTTTTCATTAAAAGAAAAAGTTAGGTGCACCACAGTCGATCTTCAAGTTCGAATTTCAAAAACCTTTTCTAGATTTCTAATGAGAAGGAAAGCCTTTCCGAGCTAGTGAGGTGAAAAAAACTTATTACAGAAAACTTCATAAGTACACAACTGCCATACTGCACTCTTTGTATACTAACGTAATCGACATTTTTAGCGAAATTGAGTAATTAACACATTATCTGGAATCAGCGAAACGGGATATATAATATAATAACCCCCCGTAAGCGGTTTTTTATATCTTATTCAGTTTCAGTTTTATTGTTATGCAAACTCAGTGTAATTGGAATTTTTTAATAAAAAAAAAACTTCATGTCTCGAAAATTACCAAAACGCAAATGCATTATTTTTGACAAGGAGGGCGGCATATGGCTTCAGATATTTGATGCATCACTATCACGTTACCGGAACACTGGACAAAGTTTTATATAAAGTGAGTTAAATGAGTTGTCATGGTACGTCTGTTTTTGTAATGTAACGTTTAATAACAATACAATGTGGTTGTCACTTCATTGTGATGAAAATACTATATTTTCATCACACTTGATCGTAAATAGTACATGATTGCACGGTCGCTAACTTGACTACAATGCCCCAAATAAAACCTCCGGGCCTTTTTTATTTCCGCTACAGCCATTGTCGGTAAGGAGATTTTTTAATAAATTTGTAGCACGACATATTTCCTTATATAGGTCAGGTTCAAGTTCAAGCAAGGAAGTTATTTAAGTTCAAAATTAAAGATTAGCTTAAAATGTTATCTAAACAGAAACTGCATTTCCACATACTACATAAATAGGTACTTATTATTAAGAATTTCTTACAATTGATTTTAATTATTTTCTGTATAAAAATTTAGCTTATGTTCTTTTACAATCCATCATGACTGTATCCGTGTTTAGTTTTTACAACTTTTAGTTCGAATTGTATTGACCATGGAAAAATTAAAAAAAAAAACAAAAACGCGCCATTTGCAAATCCATAATTGTTGCGTTGTGAGCCATATTTATATTGTATTTATTTCCTCACAAATGTGATGAAAAACATTGTAAGTATCACGGACGGTAGAAAAAAAATACAAAACTCGGATTATTACAGCCCTCAGCTTTTGGCTTCAGACTTCTAATAGCCTTCGTGAATAATTTCCTATTTACCATCATCATAATACACAATGTACTATTATTTAAATCTATGTAAGTCTTTAAAATATATCTCTGTGTGCGTATAAGCACTAAACATTATTGAAGTCCAGCTAGCAAGCAAACGAAGTATTCTTGGTATCCACTCAAATGGAGCAATTTTCGAACGGAATTTCTCGGTTGTTCCTCAAATGATATGCATGAAATTTGAAATGTTTATACAGTCCTAAAAATCCGAAAATACAATTCCATATTTAAAAAGAATTAAGAACACGGCGTATTTTACATGTGTCGACGACACGTGCGTTTACGCGCCGTAAACGCGCGTCATCTGCTAGTACACGCGCCGCAGACGCGCTGTAGCCGTACGTAAGTATCGCGCATTTTGATAACAGATAGTTTTAATTTTAGTTTTGTTTGTTTACTTCAGTAAATTAATGAAATTAAGCAGCCACATGAAATTGTAAGCTCCAAGGGAGTATATAAGCTTTTTGCTTGCCACGCGATGTTTGCTCGCGTTTTGAGCCAAAATTTGAAGTTACTCAATTTTAACTTACGAAAGTGAACTACAAAACGAAGTAATATATTTGTTTATTTAATAAAGAAAGGAAAATAAAGGGACTAACCTCCAGGGCTGAGGAGAGCGAGGCCTTCTCCTGCTTCAAAGTTTCGACACGGCTTTTATACTGCAGCAGAGACCGCACCGTCTCCTCCATTCTGCAACAATGAATGCAACACATTATTTCATAACATTTAATAACCAACATCAACAAGCATCAATTATACGTTCCAATCGTCAGTGGGCTAATCGACGGAGGTCTCCTCTAACGAAGGTTTAGGCCATAGGCCGTCATGGTCGCTAATTAGTATTGCAGACTATTTTACAGCCAGTTACTTAAATTGTATAATGTAATAATTAGTTTTGACGGTATTTGTTACCAAAACACTCACGGGGGTCCGACTATGTTCTATACTCTTGGAACTTGCCAGTTACACGTCAAAAAATTATGAAATAATAAAATTATATATTTAGATACAACTTTCATGTATAAAAAAATTCAATTATTATTATTTTTGTAAATGAAAATATCCAAATATAACATAATTAAGTGACATTTAAAGTAATATTGTAGAAAAAATGTGGGTTGCAATACTTTTGCTTCAAATAAGATACTCTCGACTTGACGAATTTTCAAAAATCGAACCATTTAGTCAAGGTCACAGTCAAAGATAAGAGACTTTATTATTGTATTTTAAAATTGCGTATGACGCAATCATATAGTAGTGTATTATATATTATGTGACTGTTACATAATGAAAGGCATTAAAATACGATAAGAGTGTTTTAATGCCTAATTAATTATATACAGTAACATACACTGCTTTATCTACACACATATTATAAGCTCTCTGCGATGTGTTCAGGCTTCGCATGTCACGACTGGCGAAATGGCGGCAAATAAAAACTTTTCTCACGCATGACACACAACCGTAGTTTTTATTTTTAATTCATAGACAAACTAGAATCGGCCCCAACTATCAATCGTTCGATATCAAGTAATGTGTGAAATTGTCAAAATTGTTTGCTATTGACATTTCATTTCGAATAAAACTTCATCTCGACTGATATTAAAATTGAGGTTAAGTCAAATTGTTTTGTTTTTCAGAGATGTTCGAAATTTGAATGTAGTAATAGCACCGAATTCGATGTTATTATTGAGGCAATTATAATATTTTCACAGATAAAAAATTTGTTCTAACAAAACAGTTTACCTTTATGCTGGTCATAATTTGCGGTTTTTGAACACATTATAGAGAATTTATGATATGTGTGTAGAAAATTTTTTTTAAATCGTTATTTCAGCCTCTATTATAATCAACGACACCTAAGCCGAAGAAAGATATCAAGCGTCGTTCATCATAAGTTTGTCTTCAGCTTGAGCACCTCGGCGTAACTTGATGTAACTTAAGCCATCACTTAACCTCAGTCTGCCGAGTTGCAAAGTCTGCGCGTGCCGCGAATGTTGAATGTGGTTTCACTTACTTCACTATTTAGTTGCATTACTACAGATTATACCTACGTATTTGGATTGTGGTTGGGAGGATAGATTTTACTTAGTTTCAAAGAAGAAAGAAATTCGAATAGGAAATTAAATGTGTAAACGAATTGAATTATTAGGGAATAATGAATAGTGAAAATTTTACTCTAACTCTCCTCGCTAAATGACGAACATTTTCGTCGTAACCAATAAATATAATCTCAACCAGTTTTGAAAAGAGAACATTTTCCACTAATAGTCGTATGTTATGTGTACCTTTTTATAATTACAGAGATGCAACTCACTTAAAGAAGGTAATTGACGTGAATTAAACCTCAAAATGTGATGTGGTAAGTTGTAAAAACTTGCCTGATGCTAGTTAGTTGAAATTTGTCGGGAGAGGGATAAGTCGGGACGTCACACATCCAACATATATTTGGAAAATTCTGTTGAAGAGCAAAGAAATCATGAAATAGAAGCAGAACATTAATCTGTGTTTTGTATGGCATTCTACAGGATTCTGCATTATTAGCTCCAAGGATCAAGTGAAGCAAGCTTCGCTTTCGGCGCAAAACAATGAATCTTTATTTTTAATAAAGAAAATCCTCAGAAGTCTTTACCAAAATTTCACAATATCCATCATAACCTTAAACACCACCAAAGAAGCAATTCATCACCAAAGAAAAAAACATAAGACGTTCGTTGAAACAAAGGAGTCTTCCAAAACGCACTTCATTACGCGGATGGAGCAAGCTCTATAAAGCATAATCTCTATTTGCATACAGTACGCTAGACAGAAATAGACTATACAATCATGTAAAAGATAGAAAGAGAGAAAAGACAGACAGTGTCTCTCGGCACTTCATTAGTCGCCTGTGACCGTAAAATGACGTTCGAAGTACGAAACATTTTTTGTTTTCTAAGCATTCGCGCCATTATTTCGATTATTTAAATTCTTTTATTCATTTATTTGGACAGACAAAGGTTCTAACTACACAGCCTGTTCACATATCGGTATTGTTCTTATTTTGGTCTATCATTTTGAGCGAATGAAGTTCTAAGTAAGTTGAACATATCATTAAGCCTGTAACAAATATTAAAAAAAGGTTACGTGTGTCGATACATCTCATTTGCAGTAATTGTAAACTAATAGATAACTAAAACTAAAACTAAAAGAAATAATAGAATAAATTTTAAAGACTAATTTTCTCTAGGTATTAAGTACGTGGAAAGACAAAGAGAACTCCATAATCCAACTTAGAAAACAAAGCGCTGTGGAGCGAATAATTTCACCCTCTTTTAATTATTAAAACGCCGAGATTATGGTATTATGAACGTAATGGCATACCTTGATTATCCAAAAAGGGAGTTATTTAGAGAAATATTTTATCGCAAAGGCGTGCAAAGATAAATTATCTAAATAACCATATAAATTTATTCTAGGTCAAACTTAAAAATTCAACACGGACAACATGCCGCCTACAGCAAGGAAACCTATCCACCATTTGTCACTTTTAAACTCTATTAAATATAATTAACTAGCTTCTATATAAAATGCTGGTTTTTTCAATCTTTATTTTTGAAGATTTTTTTTTTATCAATAATTTCGATTTTTTTGTCAAAAAGTTCTTTGTATCAATAACACACATTTTCTTATTTTTGCGTAGGTTGTGAAATTTTTAAACTAAATAAACGGCTTTCAATGAGCCTAATTTGAAAAAAAAAGAATGTCCACGGAGCGGTTAACGGATCTTCGGAACTCAAATTAATATGTCTTCCATGGGTCGGCGGGAATGAAATTCGATTCCCTCGGCTCTTTTGATTGATAAGGGTTCCATCACCTGGTCTCTTGTGTGTAGACACGGCCTTAAGTGCTGAAGTACTTTTATTAACTGTACGACTTCGAAAACTATTTTTAAGTAGATAATCCATTAAGAAACAAAGATAAATTTACCATGTCACGAGCGTGTAACATTTAGGATGTAGCTTAAAAAAAACAACACACCTTAAAAGTTTGTAGTTCCACATCTACTTTGCCAAGTTTTATTGAAATCGGTTAACGGATAGTGGTTCACCCACCAACCGGATCCATCCCCTAATTTGCCACCCTTAGAGGTGGAATATTTTCTTCAACTTTTTGAATGGGCTTAGTACTGAGGTATCCTCTTTCCAATAAAAAAGCATCATCGAAATCGATTACAAATGTTGGAGTAATTGCGTAACACACATACAAAAAAGCAGTCGAATTGAGAACCTTCTTTTTTTAAAGTCGGTTAAAAATACAAAACATCTCATTAGGCTAAGACATTAATTTTATTAACAAACTGAATTACATAACTAAATTCAAACGATTCACGCACACAAATAAAATATTAATGCAATAATTTAATAATAATTATGTTTTTGCATGAAATAATAAATTTTATTAATAGATACATTAAATATAATTAAGTATCATAAAATAATGAGTTTAAAAAATAGAACGCATAACGTCAAAATATCCGTCAACGTTGTCGAACGGATTTTGTATTCAAAAGGTGTCTTTATCATTTCGGATATAGGCAATGGCCAGTTCATATTTTAACTTTAGACAGTAACCTTGCACAGTTTTTTTGCAATCTCGTTGAGGTACTGTCAATTTGTCTTTGTTTTACAGTAAGTATGTAATCTCATCAAATACTCAGTAAAGAAATAAAATATTCGTTCGTTTTATTTTATTTGGATGTTTCAAAGAAAATTCAGATTAACATTTCACTGTCATGCCAAGTCAACCGGTGAAATTCCACTCACTCTGATTAACTCTGTTTGACTTAACGAAAGTAATTTGGATCAAGATTAAAATCAAATTCATCAACGAAACGAAACAGGGATCAAATCATTGCAAGGATTTCTCTTTAATTATTTTATACAATATCCGTAAAATCATTAAATCCTTTCAAATTCAAATACGGATTTGGAATAAAACATTCCTTTATGAAAAGAAGGAACGAATGGAATCCAAAAAAGCTATGAATGAATGAAACTTTTTCAATAATTCTGAATAGAGACGTTCGCACTTTTTTACTTTTTTCGATATCTGCGAGATTCCATTTTTGATTAGAATGTAAAATCTTCAAATTAGACATGAATGAATTTAATATTTTAAATTTAAATTTTTAAATAAGTATCTTCATATTTCTATTAACAGGATTCCATTTAAAAACCTATGAAAATGTGATTCAAGATTTTTTAAACAGTCAAGGTCTTTGACAATAGATATGTGCATGTGTCTTTCAAATAAATTATACACAAACATTTGATGATAAATGTTACTTAAAAACAGGTCTTTTAATGTATATTTCTTTCGGCCTTGGAATAAGCTTAGAAGCTTTATTAAAAAAAAAAATTAGAAACCGGGTCAGCAATAAACAACAAATTAACGCTTACCTGCTAATTTTCACGTATATTTGGGAGCAAATGGGGATTTTCCGCGAATTTCCCACGTGGAAAATGAAGGAAACAAATCTCCTATTACTAGGGGTCGATCACCCGAACTTTGGGCTTATTACGGTATAATTTAATGTTTTGTTTTTTCCTACGGACTTTTTTTACGGGGTATGTTTTTACGGCGCCCAGTCACGGCAGAGTATCGACCGATAGGGCTGCTTTCTAGTTTAATGCATAGCCAAATTGAAATAA